CCCAGTCGTAAATAAGGGGTTACAGCAATTGGAAAATTTTCCTACTCGAAAATATATGTCCCTAAGAAACCAAATTAGGTTCTCAGTTTAAGTTACAAGTTTCATAAGCATAGGCAAGGAGAGCGGAGAAAACCTGGAACCTGGAACTGTTTCATAAGCATAGGCAAGGGTTATAAATACGAGTGCAAGAAATTATGTCATTATAAAAACTCCACGTTAATCAAACTCCATATTTCACACGAGACTGAAAAAACTATGGAAAATGGCCTAGGTATGTTTATTTCTGAAAGCATTGATATAGGCCTAACTCGACTAGCCTATGTTCGTCCCGTACCCCAGCCCATTCCCTCTTGCTGGTCTTACTAGGAGAGGAAGGTGTGGGTCTCTTGAGCAGGTATTCGTCCTGAACTTCAACCATCATCTATGACGCAGGAGTGATGTTATCTCAACCCCTCGCACTTCCCCTTACAATCTTCCAGTTTTTAGTGTTGGATGACTTTTCCAAGTCAAATCCGAGCTTCAGTAAGTTTTCGCTCTGATGACTCCTCTTCGACTCCTCCTCATCCTTCCTAAAGGAATGAGGGAACATTCTAGTGAAATGCAGAACTCGAGAGGACATGAGATGAGGATTTTTTTGAATTTGCATGTGATCCGTCTCCGAATCGTGTTATTGATGTACGTTTCCCAGCGAAAAGACGACGAATTTCTAGGCGCTTGTTTCCCGCCAACGATGAACAGAATTTCATTTTGATAATTTTAAATTAAAAATTATGAAATGTTTGCATATTTCATCCCAATTCAACAAAAACAAAAAGATGAAGTTCAACTCTCTTCTTTACTTAAACAATAATAATTTCTTTGGTCTGATGCAGGTGTGAAAGCGAATTGCCCAGGTGTAACACCCAACCCTCTCCAGTAACTGATATATACACATGATGGGAGGTGACCTACAGCTTTGATGCGAACGAACTGCTCATCGTTAAGCTAATCCCGTAAGCACCTTCTATTAGTTCTCATTAGCAGACTTTCGCTTTCTGTCTTTCAGACAAAGAAAGGAGTAATACTTGACTCCCTTCAGGTAAATAGGAAAATCACAGCCATATATCTGTATCTATATATCCACGAGAATATGTTGTACTACCCAGGGCACTGGTTCAGTCCTTGTTCTGCTCCAAAGATTTCCCCATCTCCAGAGATTTCTCTCTCTCTCTCTCTCTCTCTCTCTCTCTCTCTCTCTCTCTCTCTCTCTCTCTCTCTCTCTCTCTCTCTCTCTCTCATACAAAGCAAAGATAATTGCCTGCCTTTGCTCTATGACCAAACATAAACACGAAAGCCTAGTGTTACTCTTTCATGTTATATAGCTTCTTGTTTAAGCGGGACAGGGAACCTGCGATCGATGCCAACCAAACATTAAAAGTGTCCCCTAAGTCTCGTGGCTGAGCGGGATTGATGGCCTAATTATCAGACTTTCTCTTCAGAACAAAAAAACATAACATGATGGAAGGAAGCTTACGCTTAGTGGGGTAACATTCGGAAACTAATTATCCTTAATCCAGGAGTAAAAAAACATTAAAAGTGGCAGTATGTCAACACCCTCTAGTGCTTAAATTAGCTCGTAGTAAATACACAATAAACACTTTTTCCTTTATTAATTAATGTACAATATAACGATTATATTTACATCAATTTACTAGGGAAAATACAACATTTATATATAGTTTATATAATTATTAGTAAACCAATTTTTTCATATCATCACATAGCATGAGCCGTAAACCCCAAATGTTATACTTGATCCTGCCTCGCAAGAATTTCAATATTTTGCCTACTGAGTAACCCTCCTGTCTGCCTATCCCCACACAGTAACCCTCCTGCCTGCCTATCCACACACAGTAACCCTCCTGCCTGCCTATCCACACACAGTAACCCTCCTGCCTGCCTATCCACACACAGTAACCCTCCTGTCTGCCTATCCACGCACAGTAACCCTCCTGCCTGCTTGTCCACACACAAAAATATAACAAGAGAGTAGCATAATTATTGTATTCTTAATTTTCTTGAAATTTATGTCAATATGAAACATTAAAAACCTCATTAACTCCACTCTAATGCTTGGTCCACGTAAAGCTTTAAGAGTGTCAGTAATCCAGTTTACGAGAACAACTTTCTGCTCACAGAAATAAAATATATACATATTATTCTCAATTCCAGTACATTGGTCACACCTATTGTTGTCCCTAATGCCCAACATTAACAACATATCATTAGTAGGGAGGGTCTCATGAATATAGCCATACAATAGCTCACGTTGTTTTGGGGCAATAAATTAAACATGAAGGTTTGCCCATATTACTCGCCAGTTAAAGAGTGGATATGCCTCCTCTACTCTAGGAACTATATGTGGGAGCATAACATCATACACTTGTTTACTGTTCATTAAAAAAACCTTCAATATTACAAATCCGCCTGAGAACATCAATTGCACATGAATAAAAGTGCGGTGAAATAAAGGCAAGGTCAGTATACTCTGGCATATGTATCAAGGTCAGTATACTCTGGCATATGTATCAAGGTCAATATACTCTGGCATATGTATCAAGTAGCTAACATGTAATTTACAAAAGTAATGTCATAGCGCATTTACACTATTCATCTGAATTGTCTCCTTTCTGAAGGTAACACATAAGATTGCCAGTAACTTATGGTACACAGTATTCCTGTGCCACCGTTTTTCTTACCTTTAAATAGAGTAGTCCGTTTAATTGGTTGGTGTCTACCATACCATACATATCTAAAAATAGTTTTGTCAATCTCCATAGCACTTTTCTTGTCAATTGGAAAGCTGTGAGACAAATACCACACTTTAGACAAAATTTTGCAATTGATTATTAAAGCCTTCTGAAAACGGGTTAATTTCCTATTTGACAACATATTCGTTGCAACTATCATATTCCCACATAGTACTTGCCAATTCGTAACCAATGTTGCCCCATATGTTTTACACCAGCAAATCACAAGAGCTTCGATAGACTCCACTACCTTGAACCATGAACCTGTCCAGGTACCTTTATTACACCAACTGCCAAGCCCCATCATACACGTTTTGTTCTTGTTAATGACAGCACCTGTTGTTCTTTCAAGGTTGTCAACTCATCCTGAACATTCACCACTGAGTCTTCTGTCGACACACCAACCGGGCTGTGGTGGGTATGTGGGCCTGCGGGCAGCTCCAAGCCTAGTGGACCAAACTCTCACAAGTCAAGCTTGGCCTCGGGCCGGGCTTAGGGAGTAGAAGAACTCCCAGAACCCCATCAACCAGGTATCAACCAGAAATCACAAAAATAGTTGTATCGTCTGCATAACCAACAAGAGGAAGTGTCGTAGCATTAGGAAGACAAGGCGGAACAATAAAGTCATTGCTTTTTATTGCCAAGTACAGTGGCTCTTGAAATATAACATACAACATCATTGAAAGGGGACATCCCTGACGTACCGATCGGTCAACTGAAAAAGGTTTACTTAAGACACCAATGATACACACGCTGCTCCGACACTGTTTATAAAGCATACGGATCGAACCAATAAATTCTTGTGCCACTCCCACCCTGTCCAATATTTCTAGTACAAACTGAACATCAAACACGGTCAAAAGCTTTCGACCAGTCGAGGTTTATCATGGAGGACGGAACACTATTCTCAGACACATAATACACAACATCCCTAATTACATTATTACAATTGATTATGGATCTTCGAGGTACACACCACAGAACTGTTCCTTGGATATCATTTTATCCATTGCAATCCTAAGCAGACCTTAGGAGGAGCTGGTGCTGTTATTACCAGCTGTTTACTTATCATTTATGCTTTAATTCTTGCTTGTCTGTTTGTATTACAAACTAGAGTGGAGAGGGGGAGGGGTACCCGTCGTTGCCCGGGTCTGTCTCGCATCTGTCCATCTATATATATGCTTATCTATCTATCTCTCCATCTATCTATCTCTCAATCTGTATCTTTCCCTCTGTCTATCTATCCATCCATCTATATCTATCCATTCATCTATCTTTCCATTCTACGTCTATCCATCCATCAATCAGTCCATGCCTCTATTCATCCATTTATCTATCCGTCTATCTATCCAGGTTTCCATCCATATTTTGCTAAATCCATGCGTAATCTATTCATCTTTCCATCCATCTATCCTGTGTATCTACTAGCCATCTATCCAACTATTCATCCATCCATCTGTAGATCGATCCAGCATCTATCCATCTATCTATCCATCTATCTATCTCTCCTATTCCTCCATCTACTCAGCAATTGATTCATATGTCCAAACTATCATCCATCCATATCTACCCTTCTAACTATCCCTCCATCTGTCTAGCCATCTATCCAACTATCTAGCCATATATCTAGCCATCTATACAACTATCCATCCATCTCTCTATCCAGCCATCTACTCATATATCCATCCATCTATTCATCTATAAATCTATCTATCTGTCCATCAATCTATTTGTCTATTCATCCATTTATCTATCCGTCTCTGTCTCTGTATCTCTCACTGTTTCTTATAAAAAATATAATTTTCTACCATTGGTGTGTAGTGTTCGCCAGAGGGAGGAGCTTAGCAGTGTGATATATTTAAAATAGAATAGTTCCCCCGTTATGTTGAGAAAGTGGCGGGCTTGAGAAACCTTTGAAACTGTTTAGAAGAATTGTTTTATGCGACTACGGGCGAACTTGGGATAGCAGGAAATTTCTGATAATTTCCCCGAGATCAGAAACTAATTGTGTGTATTACTATAAGAAAAGAAATTTCTGTGTAGCTGGCAGGCAGTGCCAAAATTCATTGCGGGGTCTAAATGAAAATCTGGCACCCTTATGAATTCTGGCGACCCCGACGAGCCTATATGTTAATCCCGTATGTCAGACCATTCCCTCTGAAAATGTGGGTGACGCTAGCCTCTAGCATCTGGAATGTAACTTTAGACATACTAATGGACAGGTATTATATATCTCTTATAGTATAAATAATATGGAATGGCTGGTTGGTGTGCTTCAGAAAGGGTTGGGTGTTCTGCTACAGTGATGGTTGGGTGTTCTGCTACAGTGATGGTTGGGTGTTCTGCTACAGGGATGGTTGGGTGTTCTGCTACAGTGATGGTTGGGTGTTCTGCTACAGGGATGGTTGGGTGTTCTGCTACAGTGATGGTTGGGTGTTCTGCTACAGTGATGGGTGGGTGTTCTGCTACAGTGATGGTTGGGTGTTCTGCTATAGTGATGGTTGGGTGTTCTGCTACAGTGATGGTTGGGTGTTCTGCTACAGTGATGGTTGGGTGTTCTGCTATAGTGATGGTTGGGTGTTCTGCTATAGTGATGGTTGGGTGTTCTGCTACAGTGATGGTTGGGTGTTCTGCTACAGTGATGGTTGGGTGTTCTGCTATAGTGATGGTTGACTGTTCTGCTACAGTGATGGTTGGGTGTTCTGCTACAGTGATGGTTGGGTGTTCTGCTATAGTGATGGTTGACTGTTCTGCTACAGTGATGGTTGACTGTTCTGCTACAGTGATGGTTGGGTGTTCTGCTACAGTGATGGTTGGGTGTTCTGCTACAGTGATGGTTGACTGTTCTGCTACAGTGATGGTTGGGTGTTCTGCTACAGTGATGGTTGAGTGTTCTGCTACAGTGATGGTTGACTGTTCTGCTACAGTGATGGTTGGGTGTTCTGCTACAGGGATGGTTGACTGTTCTGCTACAGTGATGGTTGACTGTTCTGCTACAGGGATGGTTGACTGTTCTGCTACAGTGATGGTTGACTGTTCTGCTACAGGGATGGTTGACTGTTCTGCTACAGTGATGGTTGACTGTTCTGCTACAGTGATGGTTGACTGTTCTGCTACAGTGATGGTTGACTGTTCTGCTACAGTGATGGTTGAACACATATAAGACAAAGACATACGGTCTACTGCAGCTAATCATTAACACAACACAAATAGTCACTCCCTATTAAAACTTTACACCAATAACCATTTGATAATGAAATGACACTGAAAAAAAAGGATGATAACGCCAGGAAGTTCAAATGTTTATTTAACCTTCTCCCTTCGCTCATGTGTGTTCACTGTTCCGCTTTTTCGTTGAATAGTTAAATACAGATGAGAAACGTGTAAAAGTGAAAAGGGAATTTACTTATATGTACATTTGTGATAACAAATGTACATATAAGTCCACCTCACTGCCCCTTCACTACCACCCCTCACTGGTTGTGGTACTGCCCCTTCATCACCACCCTTCACTGCCTATGTTACTGTCCCTTCACCACCACCTCTCACTGCCTGTGTTACTGCCCCTTCACCACACACCACCACCACCCCTCACTGCCTGCGTCACTGCCCCTTCACCACACACCACCACCACCCCTCACTGCCTGCGTCACTGCCCCTTCACCACACACCACCACCCCTCACTGCCTGTGTCACTGCCCTCTTCACCACACACCACCACTCCCCCCCTCCCCCTCGCCCCGAGATGGTTGTGAGAAACATCCGGCGGATCTTCCTTAGGGAGATCCGGGAGATGGATCTCCCTAAGGGGTGGCTCAGTGGGGCAGGAGTAATGGGGTGGGGGGTTGGTGGGGAGGAAAGAGGGTGGGGTGGGGGGTAGAGGTGGGGGTGGGGGGTAGGGGTGGTTGGGGCGGGGGTGGGGGTGGGGGCTCAAACTTTAGCGTCCTAGTTAGGCTTCGTTAAAACTTGTTAAATTACAGGAGTCATATTTCCCATGGAAGGCCGGCAAGGAAGGGGGGGATGTATGAATTTATTTCCTTATAATGTTATTTATATTTTGCTCGTTGTTTTTATGTGATCTTTATTCGTGTATACATGAGCATGTATTCTCCGAGATGTGTTCTATATGTATTCCCCCTAGATGTATTCTAGGAGAATATATCTCTTGGAGTATTTTGCTCCAAGATGTATTCTCTCAGATTTAATCTCTCAGATGTATTCTCCTTGATGTATTCGTCTTCTTTGTGTACTCACCAATTATCTGGATGAGAGTGTAGTGTATCTGTGTTTTAGACCACACTGTAGTGCACCTGTCTTCTGGACCACACTGTAGTGCACCTGTCTTCTGGACCACACTGTAGTGCACCTGTCTTCTGGACCACACTGTAGTGCACCTGTCTTCTGGACCACACTGTAGTGCACCTGTCTTCTGGACCACACTGTAGTGCACCTGTCTTCTGGACCACACTGTAGTGCACCTGTCTTCTGGACCACACTGTAGTGCACCTGTCTTCTGAACCACACTGTGGTGCACCTGTCTTCTGGACCACACTGTGGTGCACCTGTCTTCTGGACCACACTGTAGTGCACCCGTCTTCTGGACCACACTGTAGTGCACCTGTCTTCTGGACCACACTGTAGTGCACCTGTCTTCTGGACCACACTGTAGTGCACCTGTCTTCTGGACCACACTGTAGTGCACCTGTCTTCTGGACCACACTGTAGTGCACCTGTCTTCTGGACCACACTGTAGTGCACCTGTCTTCTGGACCACACTGTAGTGCACCTGTCTTCTGGACCACACTGTAGTGCACCTGTCTTCTGGACCACACTGTAGTGCACCCGTCTTCTGGACCACACTGTAGTGCACCTGTCTTCTGGACCACACTGTAGTGCACCTGTCTTCTGGACCACACTGTAGTGCACCTGTCTTCTGGACCACACTGTAGTGCACCTGTCTTCTGGACCACACTGTAGTGCACCTGTCTTCTGGACCACACTGTAGTGCACCTGTCTTCTGGACCACACTGTAGTGCACCTGTCTTCTGGACCACACTGTAGTGCACCTTTCTTCTGGACCACACTGTAGTGCACCTGTCTTCTGGACCACACTGTAGTGCACCTGTCTTCTGGACCACACTGTAGTGCACCTGTCTTCTGGACCACACTGTAGTGCACCTGTCTTCCTCGAAACGCTATGTGCGTGTTAGTGGGTTTGCAAGAATGTAAAATCATCAATGCTCTCATAAATGCAATACTCTCATAAACCCAATGTACCCTGTTATATATATATATATATATATATATATATATATATATATATATATATATATATATATATATATATATATATATGTGTGTGTGTGTGTGTGTGTGTGTGGTTGTATATGACCGAAAAGGTAAGATTAATAATTCAAACACGAATCTTCTCAATATTTCTTATGTTTTTCTTCACTGTCGGTGGTAATTAAAATAACAATTCTCCGAAATTCATTTTTTATTTGTCTGACGCCTGAACGCGTTTCGTAATTCGTATTACATTTTCAAAGACTTAATTTACACACAAATTCTTCGTACTTATACTCTATTGGATGAGGTGATATGGTACAAAAGTTTTGGGTGAGGTGACAAACACAAGACAGAACACGAAACAATGGGTATAAATTGGGTAAGTGAACATATGAATGGAAGTAACTACTGAAGGGCTATTGGCCCATACTTCCTCTTGCTGCTTCCATATTGGTTCGGGGTCTTGAAGTGGGTAGAATATAGTTGTGCATTAATTGGCTTTTGATTGCTGGTGTTGACTCAACAGCCAATTAATGCATATTATATATATATATATATATATATATATATATATATATATATATATATATATATATATATATATATATATATATATATATATATATATATATATATATATATCGTCTCTCCCTCTTCTCTCTCCTCCTCCGCTTCTTCTATGCACGGCCAATTTCCAGGATATTATTGCGCTCCGCCGCACTTGACAATTATCCTGACCACTCTTCAGCCATTTCTCCAGGCCTGGTGGGGATGGGGGTGGGGGCAGCCTCCAGGTCTGGCCATGCCTGGAGAGGGGACGCCTCACATACGGCAGATGTATGAGAGGAGTCACATACACAAAGTGCATGAGAGGCCTCACATACACCAAGTGCATGAGTGGCGTCACATACGCCAAGTGTATGAGAGGCGTCACATATGTATTAGTTTAGCCTAACTAGAATCGTTCAGACCAAGGTAAGTCAGTGTCACCGTCGAGGCAGACGAGGCACCGGTCCAGGAAAGCGTATATTTGAAGGTGGTTTTTAATCTCCGTAAAACATCAATATGTGAACTTTTATAATCGATATCGTGAATATTGGCGCGCATTAAGCGTGAGGACAGGTTGTAGTAGTATAGGTGAGCTGGAGAGTAGAGAGAGAGAGAGAGAGGAGTGAAGTCAGTAGCATGACAGCAGTGGTGAGAGGCGGGTGTGCTGGCTGGGCTGGGAGTGGAACACCACGAGAGCAGCACTGTACACTGCCTGTTGCTCCCGGCTGTGCTGTGTGTGTCGCTCACAGCTCCCCACCAGCGGGGCTCTTCACGCTCGCTACCCTCGTCTCCCACCAGCCCTCTCCTCCAGTATATTCCCGCCTCCATCCCTCTGTGTGCATTTATACCTCAATAAACTTATTTCCATATCAATATCAGTGAGTATCAACAGCGTCCTGATAATAAAACACACAAAACACAATAAAGTGCTGGAAAACATTAGAATTCGGTGACCGTTATCAGCATATTTTGAGTGGACTTCTCGCAGCTTAATATACAAGTTTGTTGTGATGGATTTCCATGGCTCGTAAACAAAATAATCCGGTGCTGATATTATTTTTTGTCTAAAATTATGTAGCATCAGTTGTGAAGTGAGTAAAATATTGTTGACAAGGAAAAGGTGTAGTCGTATTGTTAATGTTTAATTACTTGAGCTGTTCCATGCATCCACAATTGTATGGTTTGTTGCAACAACTGTATGGTTTGTTGCAACAACTGGATGGTTTGTTGCAACTACTGTATTGTTTGTTGCAACAACTGTATGGTTTGTTGCAACAACTGTATGGTTTGTTGCAACAACTGTATGGTTTGTTGCAGCAACTGGATGGTTTGTTGCAACTACTGTATTGTTTGTTGCAACAACTGGATTGTTTGTTGCAACAACTGTATGGTTTGTTGCAACAACTGTATGGTTTGTTGCGACAACTATGGTTTGTTGCAACAACTGTATGGTTTGTTGCAACAGCTGTATGGTTTGTTGCAACAACTGTATGGTTTGTTGCAACAACTGTATGGTTTGTTGCAACAACTGTATGGTTTGTTGCTACAACTATGGTTTGTTGCAACAACTGTATTGGTTTGTTGCAACAGCTGTATGGTTTGTTGCAACAGCTGTATGGTTTGTTGCAACAACTGTATGGTTTGTTGCGACAACTGGATGGTTTGTTGCAACTAGATTTGTTGCAACAATTGTATGGTTTGTTGCAACAACTGTATGGTTTGTTGCAACAATTGTATGGTTTGTTGCAACAAGTGTATGGTTTGTTGCAACAACTGTATGGTTTGTTGCAACAACTGTATGGTTTGTTGCAACAACTGTATGGTTTGTTGCAACAACTGTATGGTTTGTTGCAACAACTGTATGGTTTGTTGCAACAACTGTATGGTTTGTTGCAACAACTGTATGGTTTGTTGCGACAACTGTATGGTTTGTTGCGACAACTGTATGGTTTGTTGCGACAACTGGATGGTTTGTTGCAACAACTGGATGGTTTGTTGCTACAACTGGATGGTTTGTTGCAACTACATGTGTTGCAACAACAACTGTATGGTTTGTTGCAACAAATGTAGGGTTTGTTGCAACAACTGTATGGTTTGTTGCCACAAGTGTATGGTTTGTTGCAACAACTGTATGGTTTGTTGCAACAACTGTATGGTTTGTTGCAACAACTGTATGGTTTGTTGCAATAACTGTATGGTTTGTTGCAACAACTGTATGGTTTGTCGCAACAACTGTATGGTTTGTTGCGACAACTGTATGGTTTGTTGCGACAACTGTATGGTTTGTTGCGACAACTGGATGGTTTGTTGCAACAACTGGATGGTTTGTTGCGACA